CTCCTGCAGCCTGGAGAGTGGCTGAGGGCTGGCCCTGCTCCTCCGCGTGATGGATTAGCTCTTGGCAGCCACCGTGCCCCAGTGGGGCCGGCAAAGGGCAGGCAGCGCCCTCCCTCCACCCTCTCCTTCACCGCAGTCACAAGGTTTCAGCCAGCGAAAGGCAAATTTTATTCCGTCTCCGCACGCTGGGCTTCAGCTGTAAAAAAAAAAAAAAAAAAAAAAGGCATCGGGAAGTGGATTTATAGGGCAGGAAGGGACGCGGAGGATGGCGAAACACCTCTCGTTCCCACCCAGGAATGTGAGGCTGTGAGAGGGGCCGGCTGTGTCAGAGGGAAATGCAATCCCAGGGGATGTTACGGCAAGGGGCTGGTGGGGAGCCAGGTGGCGCGGGCTGCGGGAAGGGCTCTCCCACCGCGCCACCCTGCTGCGGACACCCGCTCTCCTCGCCTGACCCCTTTGCACCTGCTGCCCCGGTGAGTCCCTTTTGGGCCTCCTCTATCCCAAGCACCAAGCTTTCCAAGTGCTTTTTGACGGCATCGGCTGCCCTCCCCACTGACGCATGTGTGGGAGGAGAAGCCCCCGCTGCCGCCAGCTGCCCAGCGTCTCTTCTGCTCAGGGCAGGCAAAATCCAGAGCCGCAGGCTTTTGGCACAGGAATGCACGAAGCCCCACTTAACCCTGCAGCTCCCAGGGCCCGTGTCAGACCTGAGGCAACCGCCCTGCAGCTCCCAGTGCCCGTGTCAGACCTGAGGCAACCTCCCGACTGCCTTTGGGGACCCCAAAGGAGCAGGCGAGAGGGAGCTGCGTGAAAACTCAACTTTTTTTGGTGATTTTTCCCCCCCTCCCCACTCTTTGCTGGGTGAGGTCACGGCTGGAGGAGCTGCCTGATGGGACTCAGCCAGTGACCACAGCCTGATGCCAAGGAACACGTCAGCGGGCAGGATTCCAGCTCCCCACCGAGCCCTCTCCGGGGCCAAGCAACCATGGGTCAGCTCGGCTCACAAATCCAGTGGAAAATTAGGTTTGCTCAATTCCTTTTTTTTTTTGCTGTTATTGTTTTGATTTGATTTGCAAGGTCAAAAAGTGACTGCTGCAAACAAGGGCCCCACAAGCTGGTGACATGGGCCCATCACTGCCCGCAGCATCTGCAGGCTCCAGCCCTGCCAAGAGCCGGCAGTGAGTTGGGAACAATCCCTGGAGGAATAACAACAGGAGCTCCAGCCCCGGTATGACCTGTTCCTGCACCACCAAGGGCTTCCAGCGGAGAAGCCCAGGGCTCCCATGGTCCCATGCCATGGATGTACCTGGGAGGGTGACAAGGGACAGCAGGAGCCGGGGGAAGAGGCACTGAGCTGCTCTCAATGCAGAGGGAAAGAAGGAGATGGAGGAGGACGAGAAGCAGAGCGAAGCAGCAGCAGGAGGGCACCAGGGTGGAGGAGGATACTCCTTCTGGCTGTTAAGAGATGTTCAGAGCATCCCAGCATGGACCGTCACACACCTGATGCCCCAGCCTGGACCCAAGGCTCCCCTCTGCTTGCCAGCTGGGCCACCTCTAAGTTTGCTAGTGAA